TTGCCCCCCTGTAGCATTAATGGCCAGCGCTGCCCCTCTGTAGCATTAATGGCCAGCGTTGTCCCCCTGTAGCATTAATGGCCAGCGTTGCCCCCTGTAGCATTAATGGCCAGCGTTGCCCCCCCTGTAGCATTAATGGCCAGCGTTGCCCCCCTGTAGCATTAATGGCCAGCGTTGCCCCCCTGTAGCATTAATGGCCAGCGTTGCCCCCCTGTAGCATTAATGGCCAGCGTTGCCCCCCTGTAGCATTAATGGCCAGCGTTGCCCCCTTGTAGCATTCACAGTCAGCGTTGCCCCCCTGTAGCATTAATGGTCAGTGTTGCCCCCCTGTAGCATTAATTTGGACCGTATTTGGGGCAGTAAGGTGTAAATGGACATTGCCCTCAAGTCATTCATCCGCAAGCCTATTCCTTGCCTGCGCCACCACCTGCACTTTCTTTATGTTTACATCTCGCCCCTTTCCCGGCCTTGAGTAAGTCATTCACGAGGCCGTTGGTGGCGCAGACACAGATTGAACTTGGACTTCAGTCTTTCAGAATGCCGCTGCTGCCTAATAAACGACTCCTTCAGGTTCAGGATGGGGGGAGGGGTGGGGGGTGTAGATGTAAACATAGAAAGTGCAGGTGGCGGCACAAGCGAAGAATAACCCCAGCAATCATTTATTCTGAATCACCAATACTGACATCTACGCATGCGCATCTCAAATCTATGGACTCTATGGACACATGCATTGCACTACGGGCCATTTAGTTGTACGCTGGGACTTTCATGCCCGTGTACATTGATCCTAAGGGCCCGTGCACCCCATGTGCATTGGACTTCCTAAGGGCCCATACACCCCATGTGCATTGGACTTCCTAAGGGCCCATACACCCCATGTGCATTGGACTTCCTAAGGGCCCATACACCCCATGTGCATTGGACTTCCTAAGGGCCCATACACCCCATGTGCATTGGACTTCCTAAGGGCCCATACACCCCATGTGCATTGGACTTCCTAAGGGCCCATACACCCCATGTGCATTGGACTTCCTAAGGGCCCATACACCCCATGTGCATTGGACTTCCTAAGGGCCCATACACCCCATGTGCATTGGACTTCCTAAGGGCCCATACACCCCATGTGCATTGGACTTCCTAAGGGCCCATACACCCCATGTGCATTGGACTTCCTAAGGGCCCATACACCCCATGTGCATTGGACTTCCTAAGGGCCCATACACCCCATGTGCATTGGACTTCCTAAGGGCCCATACACCCCATGTGCATTGGACTTCCTAAGGGCCCATACACCCCATGTGCATTGGACTTCCTAAGGGCCCATACACCCCATGTGCATTGGACTTCCTAAGGGCCCATACACCCCATGTGCATTGGACTTCCTAAGGGCCCATACACCCCATGTGCATTGGACTTCCTAAGGGCCCATACACCCCATGTGCATTGGACTTCCTAAGGGACCATACACCCCATGTGCATTGGACTTCCTAAGGGCCCATACACCCCATGTGCATTGGACTTCCTAAGGGCCCATACACCCCATGTGCATTGGACTTCCTAAGGGCCCATACACCGCATGTGCATTGGACTTCCTAAGGGCCCATACACCCCATGTGCATTGGACTTCCTAAGGGACCATTCACCCCATGTGCATTGGACATCCTAAGGGCCCATACACCCCATGTGCATCTCAAATGTATGGACTCTATGGAGTACACATGCGTTGCACTACAGGCCGTTTAGTTGTACGCTGGGACTTTCATGCCCGTGTACATTGATCCTAAGGGCCCGTTCACCCCATGTGCATTGGACTTCCTAAGGGCCCATTCACACCATGTGCATTGGACTTGGTTGCTCAAGGCACAACACAATGACAACCCGTTGACTACAATAGGTCCAACAGAACACGCTGCATTTAAACCCCCGCGCGCCGCAATGCATGTTAAGGAAGATTTTTTTGTACTCACCGTAAAACCCTTTTCTTTGCGTTCATTGGAGGACACCGC